GGGGGAGGGAGGGAGGAGGAGGTAGAGCAAGAGGGAGGGAGGAGGGGAGGAAAGGGGGAAGGGGAGGAGGGGAGGGAGAGGAAGAAGAGGAAGGGAAAGGGAGCGAAAGAGAGAGAGTGCTAGGATCCCCATATCCCCTCAGGGTGAGGTCGGGGCACTGCCCCACCGCCGGCGTGACAGGTAGGTGTATGTGGAGTGGGCTACACTTGGCCCTGTGGTGGGGCTCCTGCTCTGTGTTCTCGGGCAGGTTGTTCACCAGCTAGGAATCCTGAGAGCGAGGGGACGGGCGCCTACGCAGCTCCCAGGGGAGGACAGCCTCAACGCAGAGCAGGCGGACCCAGCCCAAAGGAGCATGCAGGGCACATCCAAAGGCACCTGGCCCGGGGCTTTCCTACAACACATTTCTGTTGGTCGTGCTTGCGGCCCATCTTGCCCGCAGGCCCTGTGCAGAGCTGCTGCGCACCCAGCATACCTTCCTGCCCTTTTCACCCCTTCCTTCGCTCTCCTTCCCTCCATCTTTCCATCTCCTTCCCCATTGAGAAAGATCTCTCCCTACTTCCTGTTATCTGTCTTTATTTTGCTTTTAATTGATATTTTGGTTTTCTCATAGAATAGGAACCCGAGATATTTAGGTTTGTGTGTCTGACACTTAACATTATGGTGTCGATGTTCATCCACGTTCTCACGATCGCTGAGGTGATCCCTCTTTGTGGCCGCGTAGTCCTCCATCGAGTGTAAGCCACGTTCTCTGTGTTCATTCATCTGTGGATGGGTGGATAAGCTAATTCCAGACCTAGCTGTTGTGAATCATGCTGCTATAAATGGGTGTGGACGGATCACCGTGGTGTGATGTCTCAAGTCTATCTGGGAGGTACCTAGAGGGGGAATAGCTGGCTCAAGCGGAATTTCTACTTTTAGTTTTTTGATGAATCTCCGTTCTGATTTGCACTTTTTTTTTTTTTCCAGTACAGGTTCTACAGGGTGCTCAGGGTCTCACTATGGAGATTGGACTCATAGTGATCCTCTTGCTTACAGCCTCCCAAGTGCTGGGATTACAGGCATGCACCACCATGCCCAGTCTCAATGGCTGTCTCAGTGCGCCCCGGGGGCGGGGCTGGCACAGCAGGCTGGGGATTGACCCCTGGCCCCTGTGTCTGCCTAAGCAGGCGCTTTAATCCTCTGAACTATTTGGCCCTCCCTCTAATTTGCACTTTAGTTTTCTTTCTTTTGTTTCAAGTGTCCTAGGCTGGAAAGCAAGTTGAACTAATCTAACACAGTAGCACAAAATGTTCTAGAACATCCGGGTCAGCCAAGTAATCCACAGCCACTTGTGTTATTCTCCTGAGAGTTCCAGTCAGCCACCAAGGAGGGGCTGGTGATGTGTCAGCCCGAGAGCCTTTCTGCGGGGCCCTGGCATGTGCCAATCATGCGCTCCACCCTGGGCTGCACCCCGCCCAGCAAGTGGTCACTCCGGCTGCAGCCAGATCCTGGCAGTGTGACTACCTGGGTGCACATCCTGCCTCTGCCCCCAAGCTGTCTCTGTGATCTGAGATACTAACTTGCCCTTAATCCACAGTTTCCTCATCTGTAACCCAGGAATCATAATATCTACCCTGTGGGTCTGTGTGATGTTTGCCCAGCATGTTTTTGTTTCTGAGACAGCATCTTGCTGTGTAGTTCAGGCTGTGTACTCGCTGTGTGGCCCAGGCTGGCCCCAAACGCATGGCGATCCTCCTGCGGCAGCCTCCCGTGCACCACCATGCTGGCTGTGGGTGTTTCACATGAAGGAGCTGCCACTCTCTGTGCGTGGCACACGGAGAGACCTACAAAATGAAGGTCCTCTTCACAGCCCAACTCTTCAGGCCACTGATGGTGAGACGCTTAGAGCTCTCCACGACAAGGATCAGCCAGCCCTCTGTGGCACACGTGCCATAGTTTTGCCACCACTGGTCCAGGCAGACTGATGGGTGGTATCATTCTGCTCAGCACAAGCAGACCAGCCGCGTGGTGAGCTGCGTGGTGGCACGGGTCTGTTCTTGGCTTTAGGTAGAGGCCGTGCAACTCATAGCAGATGGAAACGCTCCTTGTACCCCGCAGCCAGAAGAGGGGGCGACCTATGAAGGGATCCGGAGAAAGGCAAGCGCTGAGGTATCTACGGCCACTCCGGGAATGTCTGCAAGCCCACGGCCCTCTGCCTTTGCACAGTCCCGGTCTACCATTTCCGGGCCAGAAGTTCAGCGCCTGGGCCAACCTGCCCACACCTGCCCTCTGCACCAGGGGACAGAAAGGTGGCTGCATCCATGGCCACTCAAGGCCTGTGTTTGTGCCATTCTAGATTCGCTGGGATCAGACTGCTGAGGTTTTGCATAACTGGATCCGAGGTCATGATAAAGTCCCTGGAGCCTGGGCCGAGATAAATGGGCAGGTACGTCCTGAGGGCTGCGGCTCTCGCTCTTGTGAAGATTAAATGATCTAATGCATGCTAACACGCACACACACACTTACCTAGTCCACGCAAGAGTCAGTGGTTGTTAGATATTAACTGTGAGAACCTGGTGAACGCTGGCCGTGCTGGCCGAAGTGATAACAGCCAGCTGGGGTCAGCTGCC